ATATTGTGCGAACATTAATGTTTACCTTCAAGACAACATTTTAATGAAGAGAGTTGGAAAGATACAAGATTGATCAAGACTAAGTACAAGAGTGATTCAAGTTGATCGACACACAAAGCTAGAAGATGCACCAAGTTGGATCAAGTGATCTCATGGTATGATAAGCATTGTCCATTACGCTTTGTGTAGTAACCCATGGTCTATGTGAGAGTTCCTTGTGGGGTTATGTATGTTTCCATGGGTGTGCATCAAAAGGAAGATATCACATAACCCATAGAGGATGACATCAAGTGGGATCGTCATCAAAATTGCACTGTTTTCAAGTGGAGCATCACGAAGGGATCATGCTTGAAGCTTGCTACCCATTCTCGTGATAATGGACATGTGAAGATGTGCCGAAGAGAGGCTCACCCATAGTGGAGTATGGGGGAGCAATCTACTAGTCTTCATCGAGCCAAAGCAATCAAGAAAGGTGGTCTGACTTGAGGAGCACAAGATCGTCATCATCTAGCTCAAGTGGACTATGCGTTGGGCAAAGGTTTGTCCTTGATAGGTTTTCTATTTTAGCGGTCTCATCGTGTTAGTTGGGAGACCGGATTATAGGATTGATTGTCGTACTATCAAGGGGGCTCTCGAGTGAGTAACTTGATCATACCGTTCATAGAGAGATCAAGCCATTGCATCATTGGCATAATCTTTCTTGGTTCTTGTTTGGCTTTTTGCTTTGTGAATTTTGGAGCTTATGGTCATCTTCATGACAAGCTCAAGTTCATCGAAAACAGATTTAGTATACATCTTCTATGATGTTTTCGATGTAGGAGTTTTTGCTAGTTCTTCACTCATGGAGGTTTCACACCTCTATATCATTTGCATGTTTTCTCTTGCCACTCCTGAAGATGTCGTGATTTGACAGCTCTTGTCGTTCGCTTTCTATCAAGCTTCAGTTCATCGAAATCTGAGTTCGTTTGGAGAAGTAATGGCAGTTTTGGTCTTCCATGCATCCATCTGTTTTGCTTGGGCACTTTTGCAGTACCCAGGCGGTAGTACCACTTCACCGGAACTTTTGTTGTGAGCTATCGCACCAACTACCGCTTGGGATTGGCCTTCTATTGGCCTACCCATAATAAACGGCACTAGCACGGTAGTAGAACGATAGTACTGCTCGCGCGGTACTTTCGTGTTCTACTGTCGCTGCTACTACCGCTTATTTTGGGGCTTTTATTGCCCTTTGCAGCTTTTATGGTACTAGGACGGTAGTACCACTTCATGCGGCACTTTCGCTCTGGCGCCTCTCTGTACCATTGTTCCTATGTACCAGGTGATCCTAAGCGGTAGTACCGCTGATGGATGGATGGTACTACTCTTTGGTGGCACTACCGCTCCAGCACTTCACGTGCTCACCTTGCTACTCCCTGGAATTGCTGCCTTAAGCGGTGGTACCGCTTTACTGTGGGCTGAGGCATAACGGTTGGATTTGTCCTCACCTATAAAAGGGGGTCTTCTTCCCCAATGGACCTTATTTGTTTGAGCTCGTGTTTCCCCTCCATTGTTGACCCTCCTCGATCTTGCTATCTATCAATCCCTCCAATGATTCTTGCTAGTTTTTGAGGGAAAAGAGAGAGGAGATCTAGATCTACGTTTCCACCAACCCATCTCTCCTGTAAGTGAGGGGAACCCTTTGGATCTAGATCTTGGAGTTCTTTGTGTTCTCTTCTTCATTCTTCCTCTCATATTCCTCCGTAGCATTTGTTGCTTTGGTGGGATTTGGGAGAGAAAGACGTGGGCACTTTGTGTGCCCTTGCCATTACATTTGGTGCATTAGTTTGGGTTCTCCACGGTGATACGTGGAAGTGAAAGTTGAGAAGCTTATTACTCAATATTGGGTGTTTAGGCACCCTAGAGCTTGTGCCTCTTGGGTGCTTGGGCGTCCTAGACGGTCGCTGGTGTCGCATAGTGCAATCATTGTGGCGTAAAGCTTTGGGGTCTCCAATTAGGTTGTGGAGATTGCCCCGAGCAATTTGTACATGTTCGGTGACTACCCCCAATTAGGGTGGCCCTGTTGGCATTTTGGGGAGCATTGTGCCTCTAGACCGCTCCAAACGGAGATTAGCATCCGCAAGGGTGTGAACTTCGGGATACATCATCGTCTCCGTGTGTCTCGGTTAATCTTACCCGAGCCCTTTACTTATGCGCTTTACTTTGTAATAGCCATAATGTTTCATGTTTTATATCTTGCTATCACTTAGTTGTTTATCTTGCTTAGTATAAGTTGTTGGTACACATAGGTGAGCCTAGTCGATTTAGGTTTTGTGCTTGACAAATTAACCACTAGTTTTATTCCGCATTTGTTCAAGCCTAAACCATAAATATTTTAAAGTGCCTATTCACGCTCCCTCTAGGTACCATCTACGATCTTTCACCCGACCTTAGATAGAGGAATAACAGAGAGCCTGGAAGCTTTACAGAAAAAGGCACGTGCCCCGTTTTATAGATAAAGGAACAATCGTCATACAACTCGACACCACAATACACATATAGAGGGCAAGATACAAGAGTGCTTAAACAGCCACACAACCCCAAACCAGTTCAATCAAACTACAAACATGACGAAAGGCAGTTTACTTGAAGTCGTCGGGGCCTCAACTGTGAGCGAGTCACCGCGAAGAGGCGAAGCCGTGCACGACAACTCGGATGCTCCAAGGCTGCGCCTTTAGAAAGGGCACGACACCAGAGTGCCGCACCGCCCGATCCATGGATCAAGGTTTCCCCGGAGCAACATGGAAGGTGCAGAGGAACCACGACGATGCCTTCAAGAAGGAGACGACACCCATAGGCGCCGCCGTCGTCAGTCTGACATAGACAAACGGGATTTTCACCCCGGCAAGTTCTCTGCACCTCCAAGACGTGTCGCATAAAGCCCCGAGATGCCTTCCGTACCACTATCACCGGGCGTCGTACAATGGCAATCACACCACCCACACGTCCATGGCCACCAGGCGACACCCGAGGCACGGGCTCTGCCCACGAGCACCGCAACTACCACCACCAAGGCCGCCGCCCGGACATCCATGAACCTAACTCCATCCCCTCCCCAGGCTTGCAACGATGCTCGACGCCACCAGAGTTGCCGCCGTAGAAGATCCAGGACCGTGACGGGGCGATAAGTTCGTGCGTTCAACGGACCCTGACGGAGTTCGAATTTGAGCAATTAGGTAGGGTGGGAGAGGTAGGGAAGAAAAACGCTTCTTTCGGATCAGACGCTTGCCCCAACTGTTCAGCTGGCCGCACCCATGCGGACCGTCCACCGCCCAATCCACAGTTGTTGATGTCTGATAGAATATAAATGGAAAAGGAGAATTATATGTATTGAGTTGGCTTCTCTGACAAAAGAAGTAAATGTTTTCTTACCTTGAACTGAAAATGTTGCACTTAAAGTCTATTAATGGCAGGTTTTGCTAACTAGAAGAAAGCTATTTCTGTTTGTTTGATAGTAGTAAGGGCATGTACAATGATTGATAAGGTAGTCTTATCTTAAGTCTTGCATGTAATTTAGATATAACAAAAAAGATGGTCTACAATGGGTCATCTCTTGCAAGCCGGCCACTATCAGTGGTCCCGATCTGCTCTTGCTCCAACCCAGCCGCCCAGAATTTCCAACGCCGCCGGCCGTCCCCAAAATCAAGTACCGCCGGCCGTTCCCGAGCATGTGCGCTGCTAGCGGCATCCGATCTCAAGCACCACCGGCCTTCCTGATAACAAGCGCCACCCGATGCTCCAATCTCCTGCAAGGAACTCTTCCCGTTCTTCAGGCAACGATGGATCGAAGTGGATCACGGAGGCGTTGGCGTGGGAAGGGAAGGGGATTGAGGCATTGGCGCGGGAAGGGAAGGGGATTGGGAGGCGGCGGCGGACGAGAAAGACGGGGTCGTGCGGGGAGGAGAGGGCTCGGGTTGCAGGAGGGGGGTATGGGCTCGTTACCGGTGGGGGGTGGGTGGTATCGATCGATAACTGGGCCGGACCCATTTAAGGAGGGACGCGTTTACGGGTGGAGTTACCAAACGCGAGCAACGTTTTCCTATTACGGCGTAATCAGGTCACGGGCAAATTTCTCTGAAACAAACACCTCCTAAGATGTAAATGTTGGACACAGAAACTTTCGTCTTTCACTATCTTGTCATATCATGGCGATCACTATCAATTTAGACGAGGCAGAGACCATCACCATATGCCAAAGAAGTATTCAGCCGAATCTGAAGAAACGGCCAGGAGGTATCGAGCCCACGTTCAAGTTCAGCCCAAAGTCATGACCCGACTTCTTTCATGCCCACGTTCAGGAGAAACTTTCGTCTTTCACTATCTTTCATACCCCTAAAAGAAAAAGAGTAAATTGCCTCTAATTTGTCAATTAAAAAAATTGCCATACAAATAAACAAGTAAAGTTTGATCTGATCGGAGCTATAAATTAGCCATTAGTTTCCTGCGGCTGATCCAGCTTAACAAATAGACACAAAGACTGATAGTTTTTACTTACACGGAAGGTAATTGACATACACTTTTGATTTCCCTGTGATCCCAGTAACTCATTAGTGCTCCATGTGCACAATTTGGTTGAGCTAAGTATGCACGATTGTCAAATCTTAATAAGCAGAAGGCCATGGCAGCACATAAATTTCGTGCAAGAACAGATTTCTAGATATGCCAATACAACTTGACACCAACAGTTTCGAAACAGCGAGACAAATGTGACGGACAAACCTGGGAACATTGACTATGGCAGCACATAAACTTCGTGCAACAACAGGTTTCTAAATATGCCAGTACCACTTGACACCAACAGTTTCAAAACAGAGCGACAAATGTGATCGATAAACCTGGTAACATTGTACATGCACGCGATCTCCAAATGCGTTGAGTACCAGTTAGTGGGTATTTTGGGTGCTCCTGCAGTGTCAATTCAGCCTACACTCTTGCACAATTAGGGATAAGGATAATATCTGAGATCAGATAACGGTCATGTTATCGTCCTTCTTGGATGTTTTCTTTCTCTTCTTCCCGGTGCAAGGCTCTTTTCCTTTCAGGTTTTGAGAAAATGTTCGCAGCTTGCCCATAAGATGCTCATTCCTATGCGCTGGGATTGCAATGCAATAGTCAGTGCGAGGAAAAAATACATTAAGAGAACCATAAAGAGAGTATCAACAACGAAAATGCATAGGAGCTCTCGGGTGCCATGCACCCTATATGAATAGTAAAATCGAAAAAAATACTAGGAACAATTAAAAAAATCTGAAATTTTGGGGTATCAAACATGGTCGTCCATTCTACTCACGTACGAAGTTTCGCGAAGAAATGGCATCCGTGGTATTCTTAGTGAAGAAAATACAGTCCGACCTATGATTCATTCAAACAGTTTTTCATATATAATTGAAGTATTTATCTTTTTTGCTGAGAATACCACGGATGTCATTTCTTCACAAAACTTAACACAGGTGTAGAATGGTCGACAAGGTTTGACATCCGGAAATTTCATAATGTTTTGATTTTTTATAGTATTTTTTATTTTACTATTCAGACAGGGTGCATGACACCCGAGAGCTCCTAATCGTGTCTGTATCAACAACATTTTCCTCTGTAGCTTATCAACTATGTATTCAACATTTGTAAAATTTCAAGTATACAAGTGTCTCAAACAACCTTCTATAGAAAACAACACTTTCAGGAAGCCAATATTCTATCCTTCTCTTTCAGGCATTAGTAAAGACATTGTTTGCTCAAGTACCTGTGAGGATAACATCGTCCATCCTAATGGATTTACGACTAGCATGCTGTGCAAACAGCTCAACATCCTTAGCCAGCTGCTCTGCACATTGCGAAGAATATGTTAATTACAATACCCATCTAGTTTCCAAATATGCAGATCTAACAAGATTCAGAACCATTCTTATTCTGCAGAGTGCAAATAAGCAGTTCAGTATAGCTAGTACAGCAGAACAATTTAGTTTCAGAGATGGAACTCTGAAAATCCACTTCCTTATGTTCTGATACATCTCCTTTACTCTCACCATGCAACCAAAATTTTGTGGTTCCCACAAGATCCTCGATCCCGAGCTGGAAATGTGCTAAGCTATCGCTTTCCAGCTGATACAGTGTGCCACTTAAAAAGATTTGATTCTGGAGTTTGTGGACGGGATGGAGTGATCTTCAGTGCAACTTGATGTCTTATTTCCCACGTGTATTCTTTAACCCACAGAGGTCTGGAAGTCAGTTCGACTAAACATTACCTAAATGCATAAAAAGTGCTTTGCTTTTCTTTAAGAGCACATTTTCAATTCAACTAAATATCTTGAATTGTGTTAGAGGAGCATGCAAATCAGATATAAAGATAGTATCTATAGCAGAGATTGTTTCTTAGAGTTTGGTGTATTCTTATCATGAATATTTTGTCTATGCAGAGCTTGTTGTAAGAGAAAAAATCATTAGTATCAGCATGAAATTCAAGATACTGAGTAACACAGAAACAAACATCTACCAAATCAAAGCCTTCTTTTAAAGGTCAAATCAAATAGAAGCGCATCCCTGTCACACAAAAAAGAAGTTCCTTGCTGCAGGCACACAGAAGAAATCAAACACGAGCTTGTGGTAAGATCTAATGCTCCAGGCATTCTGGACAAATCTAATATGAAGTGCATCGCTCCAGCTCCATTCAATCTAAACTGCCACTAGACAACCAACACACATTTTGGCTAAGGTAGATCAGCTGGTTCTGTTCCACGCCAAGACTCGGTCTAAAATTGGCCAGATGGATATTCAAAAATGGGCAGAGTTAGTTGTGAAAACAAATACAACAAAAGGAGGTAAAGATTTCGGGGAACCTGCGCTCTTGAAGGCCAAGTCGGCGATGCAGGCGACGACGGGACCCGCAACCTCCATGCCCGCCTTCTTGCCTGCAAAGCACGAATGCTTCATACATTACTGCTCCGAATCCCGATCTCAGTTGCAAGAGAAAGAAGTGATAGCGGAAACTGGACGCCGGTGGAGAAGGGGTGCCATTTTAACCTACCTTCAGAAGTCGCGATGTTGATGACAGCGAGCCTGAAGCGGTCACGAAGGAGTTCGGCCTCCGCCTCCGCCTCCGCCTCCGCCTCCGCCTCGAATCTATCGGCCTCACCGCCGTCGCCGGCGAGTGCGTCGTCGTCGGCGAGGGTTTCCACGTCTGGGTCCATGGTGGGGATAGGAATTTTTCGGTTTTCCGCGCTATTTGGTCCCTGAGTTTATTTGTATTTCACCTCCGAGGTTTGCGAGGAAGTATTTGAATTCTGATTTGTTTTTTGGGGTTGATCAATCAGAGATTTCTAATTTCTTTTTAAGCAACCAGCAGGAGCAATGCGCATTTTTCTGTATATAAATATTGGACATGTTTGTTTTTATGTGAAAATATAATGATATATAAACATACTAACACGAATATAATACCTGTGGTCGAATGGTTAGAGGGACAGTGGTGTCCCCAGCCCAGCAGATTTCAGTTCTAGTGCTCGCATTATTTCTGGATTAATTCCAGTATTTCCGTTGATACATTTTTAGTGGGGGGAGACGTTTGCGTCGACGACGAGGTGCCTACGACGATTTCGTAAATCTCAAGATGATATGCTGGTTTAGTCTTTTGGAGGTGCTCATCTCTACTCCTAATGGAGCAGTTGGTAGTCTCGCTTCCAGGTTTTTTTTCGTCCCACCACTTTCGTTCGGATTTTTTTCGTAGGTTAACCGTCGTAGATTTTTTTCGTCGCCTCCCCCACTTCATCGGTTTATTTTCACTTCACCCTTCACACAACGAAAAAAACTGAACGGATCAGAACTTTTCATACTGACGCAAATTATTTAGTAATGTCTTTATGTAAAAGAAATCAATCACAATCAATCTTTAAAGATCAAATCTAAATTAATTAATCTTCATAACGTTTGTTTCCTTTCGAATCACGTCCATAACTTTCCTTCCTTGTTTGGGCAGAAACTGTTTGGTAGCAGAGATTAGGAAGCTTCCTATGAGTGTAGTAATATGAAGTATTCTTTTTCTTGATGATTCGTTTTCATGCATGATGATAGTAAATTAGGCCAACATTCACCACTATTTATCAACGTCATCAATCGTATCCATTCCTACCAGTTTTAAGGGAATCTGCTCGCTATGTCTTTTTTAAGGGGATCCGCTCGCTAAGTCGTCGTCGCACGTTATTTTCACAAACAATCTCTACTCCTAATGGAGCAGTTGGAAGCCTCTTACGGTTTATTTTTGTCCTCCTCTCACCTCCACTGGTTCTTTTTCTCTCCACTCTTTCCTTGCAAACCAATAATTTCCTAACATACAAAAAATCACGAATCTATCTTTCCTTATCCGAACCAATCGCGCCCTACATCAGTGCATTTCTTTATTAAAAAAACTAACACGTAAATCTTAACGCATTGTAAACAAATCCCGTTATGGACCTAATTAGTTTATTATGGAATCTATACGTGGTCGCATTGGTTCTTTTTCTCTCCGCTCTTTTCTTGCAAACCACTAATTTCCTAACATACAAAAGATCACGAATCTATCTTTCCTTATCCGAATCAATGATCCCTACATCAATGCATTTCTTTATTAAGAAAACTAACACGTAAATCTTAACGCACTGTAAAGAATTCCCGTTATGGACCTAATTAATTTATTATGGAATCCGTACGTGGTCGCATCTCTCCCCTCGTGAAAAAATCGCATCCATCTCCCGTTAAAAAGGAAAAGAGAACATGAACGATCAATCCCACACCATGCATCTCAGTAGCAAAAAATCGCCCCCGCCTCTGCTACTGCGCCTCGCCGTGTGCCCGGCTCGACCCATGCCTCGCCTGCATGGCTGGCCGCCACCGTCTCCACCGCCACGTACAAGAAAATGATGGGCAGAACCATCCATTCAAATCGCACACCCCCACCCTCCTCCGCAATCCCTAGCCCCGCATCACCCTATCGCTTTCTTGCCTCTCTTTCCCCTCGATGTAGATGGTGCCGAGCGGCACGAGCACCGGCAGTGCCGCCCTCTCTATCTTTGCTGCGTCGAGAGATGGGACGAGGCTATCGTCGGTTCGCCGCCCACGATTGGGCCGCCTCCGGTTGTCGCGCACCACCGGCTCCACCTAATGTGCCCGACCCTCTCCGCTTTCGACCTTCCGGCGACCACATCCCTCCACGCCTCCATCCATCATCCACAAGGCCACTCCCTGCACCCACCCTCCTAAATTCTCCATACCGACGGACAATCATCGAAGATCCAAGTTGGCCCGATATCAATTTTCTTACATGCTTTCTTTATCAGTTGGTGATGGGAATGGGTTCCAATTTCTCCCTCTGACTGTGGATTCGCAGGCAATAAGCGCTTCTACATGCATCCTCATGTCGGTCCCTAAAGTACCAAGGTAAATGGTTGATGTTGCGTTTGTCTAGGATGATATATGTTGGCTTTGTTCCGGTTCATCCGAGCAGTTCTGGTACATCGTGCATTTATCTTGCCAGTAATGTTCTGTGATGCTCTGATGCACTTTGAGAATTGATTATCTTGTCTTCAGTGCAGAACATTTGTTTATTAATGCATGAGAAAAATCTTTGTTACTACCTTGAACCTGTTTTATAATCCATATTGTTATGCACTAGCGCGTGTGCGTGTGAAATAGATGGATTATGGTCCCGTACCCAATAAGATGGATATGTGTGTGTTAGAGAGAGAGAGAGAGAGTGAGGGAGAGGGGGAGAGAGAGTGAGGAGGAGGGAGGAAGAGAGTGTGTGTGAGAATTTGATGGTAAAAAGGTCGCCAATGTCACTTGATATGTATGAGAATATTAAATATAATATTAACATAATTGATATTGAACTCTTAAATTTAATGTGGCCCCGTTGCAACGCACGGGTGTTCTTCTAGTAGGGGTAGGATGTGCGTTCATAGGGGTGAGTGTGTGCGTGTATATATGAGCGCTTGCGTCAGTAGGCGACTTTGATACATGTTAGCCTTTTTTATTAAATAAAGATTTGTAGTTATCTTTCTTCACTGATATTATACATGGCTAGTAGAACGTCCGTGCATTGCCACGTGCCTTTTAATGTTTTTCAGTTACACATATATACTTGTATTGTTGTATTTTTTTTCAAAAGAAATTTGTATTCTTGTATAAACTTAATGATCTTTTTGCCCCTTTTAATGACATCACCTTGGAACCCTTATCGCTTGATTATTTTTGAACATCGGCATAATCTATATCCAACAATTATTTGTATGTATCTGTTTTGATTGTTTAAAACTCAATTAATTTTTAGTCTCGTTCGTCGTAGTTACGTGTCATCATTTTCAAAGCATCATCCCAAGCCATCGGCTTTTATCTCTAATCTAAAAAATAAAATATATTAAAAATTAAAATAAGCTCATGATAAACTCCAATCAGCCCTTGTCATATATTATATAATTCAAGTGACAATTTTTTTAGCGGGAAAAAGATTCATAACCCACACATGATCAGACACTACAGCAGCCGCTAGTCCTCAAAAGAATGGATTCAGGCACCTGGCATTACGTACGAGTCCAACACCTAATTTCACACCAAGTGATCTCTTGTAATATAATACTCTTTTCTAGGGGCTGTAATATGATACTCTTTTGGCCCACTTCTCTGCTTGAAACAAGTTTACACCATCATTCAAAAGGGAGGCATGGAAGGTTTACACAGATTATTTGGCCACTTATTAAATGGAGAAACTTTACTAATGTAATTCTTCAACTTGAAGTACCTGCACACAGTAAAACCTACTCCCTCGTCTCATAATATAAGAACGTTTTTGACACTAATGTAGTGTTAAGAACGTTCTTATATTTTGGGACGGAGGGAGTATAATCAATCAAATAGAAATATAAAAAATGCTTTGATTTGTCACTCAATATGATTTTTAGGAAGTTTGTGATTTGTGGATCTGCAGAGAACAAGTATGATTGCTACATTAGGAAAGTTTGGATTGCTGCATGCTGAATAAACTTGGCAGGAAATATACCTAACCGATCGTGGTACTACTAATTACAAATTAAAGATTTGAACCTGCAGACTTTCCTACTCGAGAACATCCATTATAATGGACAAACATACTGTAGACACAAAGTAACAATTATTTTTAGGCATAATTGAAGGAGGACCTACTATCTAACAAAGTTTAACGAGTATACATCAAGCTTTGCACAATCAGATAGGAAGAGTATAAGTAGTATGTCGGTGCTTGGTAGACTACAACAAAATCATTTCTGGAGTGGATAGAGAAACTAAATATGTGAAACAAGACACAACTGCTCTGTTCAGAGATTATGTAATAATTGCAACGTACGGCCACGATGTCGGTTATATACAAATTATATTTATAGAGGGTGATCTCAATATTTAATCTGTATAGTACTAAAGTGTAATCAACAGCATGAAAATCATCCAATGAGAGATAGGATTATTATTAGGTAAAACTGACAAGTGACACACCATGTTTTAGTACTAAAAGTTTAGTTACAAAGTGCAAGATGTAATCCATGCATGCCATGATTTACAATGAGATGCCTTATTTGAATAGAGCCATTAGCAAGCCTCCCCGCAAGAACAAAGCTGAGAGCAAGTCTCCCAAATAACATAAAGAATCGAGAATAGTAATAAGCATATTTTTTCGGGAAAACGCAAAGGATTTGCGTTTCATTGCATTGGGAAGGTAGAAAGTTATTTACAATCCTCCTAAGAGGCAAAGTTCATGCTGGATCAGTAGAAACTAGTGTACATCCCAGGTGGTGGGTAAGATGACCCGCAAGCCACGAGCACCAGCCCGTGCCCATTGCTCGGCCTCGTTCTTGATCCTAGAGACCAGGACTGGGACAAGGGGTTGGGCACCGTCGAATATGCATTCATTGCGTTGCTTCCAAATCATCCACGGCGTCAGGAGGGCAATGGAGGCGAGGCCCTTGCGCATCAGTGTAGGCGTGTTTTGCTTGGCGTGGAGCCACCAGTCCATGAGAGTATCCTCCTGGTTTGGCCCTGCGATAGTCATCCTTAGCCAAGCTAGGATCTCATGCCAGGTTTGCTTGGCAAAGACGCACTCCAGGAGCAGGTGTCTCATCGTCTCTGGCGCCTGACCGCATAGCGGGCACCGGGGCTGGTGCTGGAGGCCACGACGAGCAAGGCG